AGTTGTGACAGGTTAAAGCCAACAGATGTCTTTATACCCTCAGTTGTAGAGAAAGTCAGGATGGGAGAGGAGTAACTGACAGTGTCCCTGATCAAAATAGACACCTCATCACAGCATAGTTAGTGGAAAATACATGGAAAACAAAAGTTGAAATCTGCATCTGGCCTGCAGTGCCTAATACATCACTGCCAAGAAGAAAGCATTTAACAAAATCCTCTAGGTTCTGTCTGGAGTAGGTGCTCTGTGAAGCAATTAGTCAGGCAACAGCCCAATTGCCAAGCTCATGATCCAATGCCAACAACCCTGATATGCACAGAAAGGCATTGCACATGGACCCACCAAATATTTATTGAGTGTATCTATTGTGTGCCAGGAACCAAGTGAGGCTCTGGCATTACACCAGAGCTGGCCTCTAAAGTATCCAAAGCAAGTTCACATACACAATCGAATCTGATCCTCATAAAACCAAGAGATATAAGGTGGTGTTAACACCACTTTGCAGATGAATAAACTGGGGCTCACCAAGGTTAGATGAATGGTCAAGGTCATATGACTAACACGTAGCACACAGCACAGGTCCATGGCCACATACACTTTTCTGCATTGGGAAGGAATCTCAGAGAATACTTGTCCGTCATGCTCCTGGTCATCTAGGGACCCTGTCCGACCTGTACCAAAAGGCTGGCCTTCAACCTCTACACTCAGTGTACCTCAGAGGGCCATGCTGCTCCTACTACACAGTTTCGATAGGAAAGGTAACATATCAGTAAAGATAAGTTCGGTACAAGCAACAGAAAATCCAACTAAGAGAGACTTAAGCAATAAAGACAGTTATGTTATGTATCAAGAGATGTGAAGGTAGACAAGATCAGAGCTGGCATCTTAGTTCAAAATTTTCATGAAAGAAAAAAATGCATTGAAAGATCCAAGCTCTTGCCTTTCACTCTGCCATCCTTAGGCTTGTCACCTCATGGCTCTAAAACGGCTGCTACAGCTCTAGTCTCACATTCTCACAGGACTCTTCCCAAAGGCTGATCCAGGCCACACACCACCCAGAAGCAACGGTGGCTGGGAGGACAAGAATCTGGTATTTGTGACTTTCGTGGAGTGGGGACGGGGGCATAAGGGGAAAGCTGGGAGCAGCAATTGAAGAGCTAATCATCAGTCTTTGCCACAGGTAACTTTCTGGTTCCTGAACTGGGTCAGAGCTGAAAACCAACTCCTTCCGAGCAGAAATATGGATTCTTGACCCTACCTATAGGTTGCTTTATTAGTTTTCCATTGCTGTGTTAGAAATAAATGCAGGCTTAGCAGCTTAATATAATTTCCATTTATTTTCTCACAGCTCTATAGGTTAGAAGTCTGGGAAGGCTCGTGTGGGTTCTCTGCTTAGGTGCTTACAAGGCTAAAATCAAGAAGTTAGCCAGGCTGACCCCTCATGTGGAGCTAGCTCTCAGGAAGAATTTGCTTCCAAACTCATCCAGATCGTTGGCAGAACTCAGTTCCTTGATGGCCGCCCACCAGGGATCACTCTCAGCTCTGAGGGCCACTCCCCATCCTTGCACGTGGCACCCTCCATTTTCAATACC